GAACTCCTAGACCGACTCGGCCACCGATCTACAAACCCAAGTCACAATTGCCAAAATAATAAACGGAAAACATTGAATTAATCATGCACAGGAAGGTTCCGAGTGAGACGATACACTTGAGTACCGTTAGCACCTGTCTAACGGGACCTTTGGATTCAAAACGTCGATTCGGGTCAATTTGCATCGGGCAGGACCTTTGGTCTAGTAATTGGATAGATATCATCCTCTTAAGCTAAGATCTTGCCTCAAAATAGCAAAGCTCTATTGGCGAGAAGCATCCGCAGGCGGCGAGCTGCGAGCGTTGACTTTGACTTCAATAGCTACACAATACTGAGGCCTACGCGTATTGGAACGGAGGGAATCGTGCAGGCCCTTACAATATGGAGAAACTTAACGGCACCGCGATGCACTTCTTAGTGCGTTATATCCAAATCCGTCTTACATGTCAACTTGCAGACCCGAAACACCGAGAGCCAGTCCTCTCTAGGGCTACGGGTACAGATAGTTAATAGTATTGAAGTAGCTAATGTTAAGTCCCTAAAATGCCTTTAGACCATCAAAACACACTCATTTTATTCACTCCTGCGTTTCTTACGGCTCACATTCACTCTTTCACACGACTTTATTCGTTTTCTGTCTTCATCATTATGAGGCTTTCGACTTATTCAGCCCTGGCGGCATTCTTCGGTACTTCTGTATCAGGAAACATCCTTTCGACCCAAGCAGCAAGCAGCAATCCGGAGCCAATCTCCATTGGTGGAGACGGTTTCCTCAAATAGCTAAACTCGGCAACTCACGAAGCTTGCGCTGAGTGGCTTAAGATCAACAACAACAACAACAACAACAACAACAACAACAACGTTACCACGGTCGACAGCGCACCGTTTAAGCTAAGCTTCTCTAGCACCATTAGAACCACGAACAATGACGCATGCGTCTCCGCCTTCGCAACTATCATCGAGAACTGTGCCGGCGATGTTATCTTTGGAGGCTCCACCGCATCTCAAGGCGTCGACTATACCATTGAAGGGGCTAAAACCGACTCTGACTTGCATTCCAAGGTTGTAGCACGTGGACGTGGTAGAGGAGGCAGAAGAACGAAATCTGCTGCATCTACATCTAGAAAGACACCTGCTAAAAGGCCCAAGAAGAAGACTCCTACAAAGCCCAAGAATGCAAAGCCCAAGAAGAACAAAACTCTTGGAAAACCCAAGGATAAGAAGAAAACATGTAAGGTCAAACCTGGCAAGAAGGGTACGAAATCTGGCTCTACTACGAGTTCAGGCGGGAAAAAGTTATCTGGCAGGGCTGTATTACTAGATTTGATCAAGCGTACTGCAGTACCATTAGTAAAGAGAGGGGAACCAAAGTCAGTCAAGACATGTGAGGGAAAGTTTCATTCGGGCCCATATCCTGACCCGGGTTGATTTTTGGCGGTTGATCGCGGTCGGCGAGCGCCGGTGGTGAAAGGCTGCCCGGCGCGCCACACGCGACAACAGGGGGTGAAATTATTAAGTGCATATTGATACATAGAGGAGAGATATATTTCCATCGAATCAAATGCTCAGAAGGCCTGTACTGCGTATTGTTCTGCGGAACTTCATCAGTGACATTGAAAGCTGAGTATAGACTTCGCGAGGAATTCGTCAACTTACAAGAGACATGTATCAGAATCCACACAAGTTTGACGAAGATGATCGCACTTGACCATGAAATACATAAAATCTAATTCGCCATGGATTTACACAATGCCGCATACGGTTGCCGGTGGTGTTTGCGAAGCAATGAATGTCAATCCAGTTCGTTGTGCGCCTAACCATTTTCGGACACGCAGTCGACTCATAGCAGCCGCCATAAATTGTCAGAGCAAAAAAATAGCTACAACTTGAAAATTTGGAGTCAAGGCTCGTCAGTGTCGCAAGCAGCTCAGACCGTACAGCTGCCCGCTATACTGCAGTAGAAACACCCCTAAACCACTTTGGAAGCCATTCAGTCGGGACTGCTTCTGCGATACGCCCACTAAGCCTTTAGCTTTTTGAAATTGTTGCGTTCTTGTACTGCGTTATGCCGTGGCTTGGAGAAGTTGCGAAGGTGCTAGAAATTCACGAACCACCTTAGACGACGCCCAGGATATGAGTGTACATATTACTGAATCAACAAAACAATGGACAGCGATTCTAGCGTTTTCCCATGGTTCTCGTCCCAGAGCCATTGGCGTGAGCTTGGAGCGGCGCGACGCACACAGGCCGACGTCGCAAATAACCACGCTACATTTTCGAGTGTATCTTGGCGACAATAGACCTGTGCTGAGGAGCAGACGATGGCGACGAGGACAGGATGAAAACACGTTAGGGCATATGTCGTCTTAAGATGTTGGTGCAACGCGGAGGGCCGCCGATAGGGCAACCGAGACACGGCACGAGCCGCACGCAACACCTGGGCAGCCTTAAGAGAAGGGTGCGAGAGGCAGATCGTGCTTGCGACCACAGCACCAATGCCCGCGTAGAGTCGGTCGTGTTTCTGCAATGCGGAACCCGGTCGCATGCGTCTCGTGCAGAAGCGCGAAGCAGAAATGCATCCACAACGGTTAGGCCACCCCCCGCAGGCGCTGGAAGCCGTCCACACTGCTAACGCGACGCAGACGCCCCGCCCTGTGACCGATGCAAGGCGGCGGGTAGGGCAGATCTTTGCGAGTTCCCACCACCAGGAACCAGCGCCATTCACAGACGACCCAAGCGGCCGCGGCAGGATGATGGCCCTACGCCGCCCGCGGCATCCAGCGCTGCACAACAGCCCTATCGTACAGCCGGCAGCGAGCCCACTGCCGCCCCATCGGCACTGTCGCCCGCCGCCACGGCATCTCTTTTGGACAGCCTAGATCCCTTTGACCTACTCACCGATGAGGTGGTGAATAGCTACCTGCGCTGTAGCTACAAATGGAGCTTCCATCATACGCCCACGCTGTTGCTGCATATCCGCGACCGCACGCTAGAGTCATGGATGGTGTGGGCGATGCTCGCTCTGGCGATCCGGTACGGTCATGCACGCCATTCAAGACGGCTTCGCTGATAGTGGCAGCTTCGTGAAAGAGCCGCCGACGCCTTTCAGGACGCAGATTGAGGCCAGCAACGCCTACGCCGCGTACGCCCGCCAGATCGTCCAGTCTGACCTCGAGACGCCGAGCATCAGCCGTGTACAAGCCCTCTTGATGTTGACAGGCCACGACTGGGGCGCAGGGAACGGAAGAAGGGCCTGGATCTATCTCGGCATGGCCATTCGGCTCATCGAGGTGATGGACATGACGCGGGAGCCCAAATGCCCCAGGAACAGGAAGCTTACGCGCGAGGAGTTTATCGAAGCTGAAGTGCGTCGGCGAACAGCCTGGACCTGCTTCTTGATGGACTCGCTGCTCAGCGGTGGCAGAGGACGCAAGCGATCGCTGGCCGCCAGCGACATGGCCATCCAGCTGCCTTGCGAGCGCGAGGATTTCGTCTTTGGGGAACCTAAGTGCACGCAGCGCCTCGATGGATCCATACACATGCCTCCGCTATCGCTGGACGTCGGGGAACTGGGCATCATCGCTTATAGCCTTCGCGCCGCGAACATCTGGGGCAAAGTGGCTCGCTGGGCGTGCTCGGAGGAGCTGAAGACGCAGCTTCCCTGGACGATGACCTCGCAATTCCAACAGCTTACCTATGAGCTGGGCAATTGGAAGAACTCGTTACCTCTACGGCTGCAATACGATCTGTTCTCGCTCCACAGTCACAACGCTGTAGATCAGGGCCAAGCATACTGCTACATGCACTGCATCTACTTTATGAGCACAATGTTCCTGCATCGGGCATATCTACCTGTGCTGGGACCGCGGAATACACCCGAGGAAGGGCTTCCCCAGTATAACCAACACCGCGAAAGGTGGCAGATGTGGCAGAAATCGTCGCGAAGAGACTTGTTCAGCGAAGCGAGCACGGTCCTCGACATGCTTGAGGAGATGCGCAATTTCGGTGTCTTCTTCTTGCGCGGTCTCGTACCGTGGATTGGCTTTACAATCTACACTGCCGTAGGTGTCATGCTGTATAGTTACAACTTCCCGTCTGGCGAGGACGACCCGCGGGTTACAGAGAAGGCGCGAGAGCGCGTCATCCGGGGCTGCACCTGCCTGAAAGAGATGAGGAACACATGGCCAATGTCAGTGACATGGTTTGAGACGATCAAGCGCATGCAGGCTTATTACCGGTCTGTGTTGGGGCAAGACGGACCTGTGTCGCCTGATGAGCGGCAGGCGCTGCGGCGCGCCATGGTGGATTATGGAGCCTTGCAGCCGTCGCCCGTGCAGAAGCCGGTGGATTTCAAGGCGTCTGTCGACGGGAATGTCGTTCGCAGCTCCATTGCACACGAGGTACGAGCTCTCTGGCAATATTTGACTACGTCGCTAACCTCGACCAGCAAGCTCCTTCCCAGGAGGCTCCTGCCCCTGTCAGTACGCCCACCCAGCACCAGATGGTCTCGCCGCCCGAGTCTACGCCCAACGGCTACACTTCGAAAATGGGTTGGAATGGACAACAAACCATCCCGCCCCTCGAAGACGACGATACCTTTAATTTGAACTTTGACTTTACGAGCGCGGATATGGAGGAGATGATGAAGGATGCTACACAGGACTTCTGGGCGTCCTTCCCAGGCGAGGTTGGTGTGGGTTATTAATGACTTTTGTACAAACACGTCGTATTTATGTACCTATTATGATGGGTGTCGGTTCCAATGTACTTCGCGATGGACACAATGAATTTATATCTCGCTCGCTTGAGCTACCTAGCGCGTCGTCTTTGCTCCATCGCCGAATGCTTCCCCTCCCCCACTTTGACGAGAAAATTCGCTGCGACCAGACCAGCCCACAACGAAACCCTGCAGTTCTTTTGTCCACATTAATCTCTTGTATATATATACATATTATTTCTAAATTCTGCCACCAATCGGCTTTACAGCATCGAGTGATTTCCGGCCATGTGGCCCAATGGCAAGGCGCTTGACTACGATTTACGTCCCAATCAAGAGATTCCAGGTATGATACATAATTACGCGATCACGTGATCACGCTAAAATCGCATCAGGTTCGACCCCTGGCATGGTCAATTGTTCGTTTCTTTTTTTTTGGTGCATGTGTGGGGCGGTGGTGCGGATGTTGGAGGTTTTCTACTCACTCCTCTGTATTTTTCTGTGAGTTGTGGTTTTAATATCAAGGACAGAAATATGTAATTTTCTACAAAACGCCCTTTTATTCTGCTTCTTATATGGTGAGGTGAGGACATAGTAAAGCTTTGCTATTGTCCATACATGTGTTTCCCGCCAGTATCGCGTGTAGCAGCTTCTTAATAAGTTATTAGCAACACATTTGTTGTGTTTACTCCGGTGCATTCACTTAGAGGTGAAGCAGTAGCGCCTGCCTTCGCGGGCGTTGGTCCGCAACCGCTCTATCGTGAGCTTGCCCCGCGCCATGCTAACGTTAACTCACACCGCACTTCCAGGACCAACAGCACTTCGCGAGTGACACGAAGGAGACGTGACACTGATTCATACGCAATACGGAACTTTCACACTTTGAGAACGTGCGTAGGACACGTTGGAGGACCTCAGGCTGGGTGAGCTCCGATATCGGTGCTCGCAATCAACTCGTGGAAACTCATCACTTCAATTCGAGAAAGAGATATCTTACAACCGAAATCCACATCTAGCGCTGAAAGAGACATCGTGTTCCGACTTGGCCTGTCACCAACACGGCTCTGAGTCATTCATCCCGGCCGCGCATTCAGCGACACCAGCCTAATCCCATCCTCCAAGACCAACCTTTATCAACTCGAACAAACCTTCCGCAGGCGTCTACGAGGACAGACCTTCAAGTCGCCAGCATGGGCGTCTACTACGAGACCATCCCCGACTCCCTCAAGCCATGGATCCTCGACCAGAAAATGCTCTTTGTCGGCACCGCGCCGCTCTCCCCAACCGGCCACATCAACATCTCTCCCAAAGGCGGCAAGCAATTCGGCATCATCTCGCCAACGCAGTTCTGGTACCTGGACCTCACCGGCTCCGGCGTTGAAACCCACGCACACTTGCACGAGCCCAACAACGGCCGCATCTGCGTCATGTTCATCGCGTACGACGGGCCTCCTCGGATCGTCCGGATATGGGGCACTGGCCGCGCAGTCGAGAACGGAACACTCGAGTGGGATGCCTTCGTGCGGGAGAACAAGGTCAACACGATTCCCGGGAGCAGGAGTATTATATTGGTGGATGTGCACCAGTGTGCCACGAGCTGCGGGTTTAGTGTGCCAACGTATGAGTGGACGGGGTGGAGGACTACACTGGATGACTTTTTCGCGGCTAAGGAGAAGAAATATAAGGCGGGGAAAGAGGAAGAAAGCTTGGATAGGTATGTATCTACCCTTGTATGCAACGGGAATTGCTTAAGGGGGATGAACTGATCGGAACAAGGTATTGGGCGTTCAAATCGCAGTTGAGCATCGACGGCATGCCTGGGATGAAGCGCGGGTACGAATACGCTCTGAAGAACAACGTTGCGCCGTTGAAGAAATGGGTCGGAAGGTGGGCACCGAGGGAGTCTGGTCCGAGGCCGGCGCAGCAGATCTCGCCTGTGCATATCATTGCTGTCGCGGTACTGAGTTTCGTTATTGGTGTCACGCTGGCGCTGACAATGGCGCCGCCGGATTTTGTGAAGAAAGTGCAACACAAGGAGTTCTTCTTGTGAGAAGGGTCTTTCTCTAGTACTTCCCTTACATGAGTTATGACGACTGAAGTGATTTGCTGAACTAGGAGTTGTCTTAATCTCTTTGTGCAAGAATTAATGGTGCTTGATTCTGCGGTGTTCACTCGCTCCATTACCATATACCACTGTCTTCTTGGCCATATTGAATGCGACTCTTCTGGTTGTCTCTCATCTCGGAAACTGCGAAATTAGGGCTTCCCACTCCTGTTTGCTAGCAAGCAACTCTGCCGGTCTCTTTGCTCTCGATTTGCGCTGATATTCCTGGATTGATGTTGCCCTGTGGTTCTGGGCATGCTGTCAATAGTGCGGACATTCGCCATGGGAAAAATGCACATCAATGACGACTTAAGGGCAACACAATTGGTGTAGTAAAGCTGACGATGTTATGTATTTACTACGCGATGACGTTACGGAGCCCTCCACGGCAAGCAGCACACCTGGGCATTGGGCATTGTCGCCTCGTCCTTTCAACAACGATGTCTATTTTGCGTTCTCCATGTTTTTTTGTCAGAGCATCTAACTCTACATCTTGCCCTGGACACGAAACGAGCTGTCACTACCTCAGGCTTGCAACACCACATGGGCCCATGGTTCCTACCCGTGCTACGACCTCAACACCAACAGCTCCACTTCCACCGCACTGGTGCTACTAACTACAGTCTCAACGCCTAGAATCTTACAAGTTCAAAGACAACAGGATTAAGATTACCCCATCAATGTCCCGCGAATCGTTATGACACGCAGGTCGAACTCTATCGAATTACACCGGGAATCAATAACTCACTCTGCAATATATCGCAACATGATCCATATCACTAGGGTCTTGTGATAGCGCAAGCATCGTGCTTTCGAAGCGACATGATGCTGGGGTAGAGGCCCATGAGCGTCGAGCGGTCCTTTTGGGCAGATAAGGCCTATGAAGAAGCGCAAGTTGGGATGGTAGGGTGGTATGAGAGAAAGGACTAAAACTCCTACCGATGCAAGAAACGCCAAGTTAAATAGAAAATAGATTTTCGGTTGGACAGAAAGGTTTTGATATGACGCGCATGCAACAGTGCACCACCATCACCAGAGGCGTCTGGGAAGGTATCCCCCGCTCTGACGCGGGCCGTGATCCATCGCGGGCTTTCTCGTGCTAAAACGCCACACACACACACTTCATTAACGCCCGGCGGCTAAGCCGAAAGGGCTACTAACGCTAATTTACTATTTTACTTCCTCTAGTAATCTTAGCCTTATTTAGCCCTTATATCTATATTATTCTACTTCCTCTAGCAGGTTCTAATCTTATTTAGCCTATATTTAATCCCTTTACGCTTTCGTCCTTCTCTACTTGCCCTTTCTCTCTAATTTCTCGTAGGTTAGTAGTGTTAATCGCAGACTAGCTTAGAGTGCATTCTCTAAGTGTTTAACGTCTTATCTTTAGCGGGTAAAGCGGCGCCTGCTTCTATGCCACAAGGTAATATATAGGGTGGGTTAATTATATAAGGTGGTTAGGAATCTTTATTTATCTACTATTAGTTTGCGTTAAGGCGACCTATAGCGATTGCAAACCATATTATTACTTAGACCGCGTCTATATTTGGAGCCCATTTCTCGTCATCCGTAGGGGCCTTTCCACCTAGGTAGAAAGACATGTTGCTTCTATTTATTTGTGTATATTATAACATCTCCGTCCTCTGCGTTGTCTATCTTCTGCATTAAAAAAGAAAGTGTTCTACTATCTCTCGCGCTTGTCTACACTTGCACTAATCTATTATAAAGGCTCTAATTTAGTATAAATATACGTTTAACCTTGCTATGCCTATTCTAAGTTAGGCAAGTACGCTAGCTTCTTTCTATAGTAGTTAATTATAGAGTTGCCGCGTATGCTTTCCCAGTAGTGCTGTATTAATTATTTTAGAGTATTTCCTAACCCTTTCTAGTAGCCTTTTAGCAGTGCTAAGTTTTCTTGCGATGTTAAGTGTTATTAATCGCATCCTAGGGAGCGGTGCCTATAGTATAGCGCCTGGTCTTGTGGCTTCCTTTGCCTTCCTTTTGGCGAGTGTTGCAAGTTCGTATTCTTCGCTTATTAGGAGCCATAGGAACGATATCGTATTCCCCTCTCTTTCTAATGCTATAATTAATCTGTAGATGCTGCTAATATATCTCTGTCCTAATTATTAGTGCGGTCTTCTTAGTGTAAGTACGGTAGCTTTGTTTCTTGTTACTAGTGCAATATTGCAGAACCTAAGCTTTAGTAGCATGTCTATAGTTTTTACTATTACTACTAACTCCCCTACGTACGGGTTCTGCTCTTCCCTCTTACCTAGTGTGGTAGAGAGAATAAGAGTTTTATTGTTATAGATTTTAATTACTCCGCCCATTCCTACTACACCATTCTGTGACAAGCTACTTATAGCGATGCGTACCGCCTAGTCTAAGTTAAGGCTTAGTGCTGCGTCCTTAGTAATCGTCTATACTCTTTTCTCCCATGGCGCTAGTAGGCATAGATTAATAGTTTCTAGTTCTTCTATTATAATGCCCTTAAGCGCTTCCGCTACTTAGTAGAGTAGCAAGTGGTGTTGTCTCCTAAATTTTCGCATCTAAGATATGTTCCTTTAAAGGGGGTTGCTCTCAGGTAGCGTATAAATATCTATCTATAGCTTAGTCGCCTGTTTCTAGAACCGTTCCTGCGCGCTAGAGATGTGTGCTTTAGCTTCCGCTACACTTATTACTATTATAGTAAACGTCCTTACAATCGCTTGCGCTCTAATTCTTTAGACCCTATTAATAGGTCTTATAAGTTTATCTTTAAAGGCGTGCATCTAGACATTAGAGGCATAGTCTACTATTAGGGCGACTATTACTATAAAGAGTTATCGTGCCGTAGCAGGGGAAAGGCCTCTAAGCTATTTAAGCTCTATTATTACTTCTAGGCCCTTAGTGGCTACTCTCGCGATGTGCTTCTAATACTTTAATTTAGCGTCTATAAGAACTCTAAGTATTTTAACGTAATCCTTTAGTAGTACGGTTTGTCTTTTAATGGTAAACGGTTTGGTAGCACTCTTGTATAATTTACGAGTAAAATAGATAATTACTATTTTTTTTACTTTAAACGTTGCTCTACTTCTTTTCTCCTAGTCTAGGGCATTGTTAATAATAGCTTTAATACCTTCTTAGTTGCTTTATGCCGTGGGCCCTAAAACCCATGCTATAAAGTCGTTAACAAAAGCTATCGCTCCTCCGTGGCTATCAATGCGTTGTTATACCAGGTCGGCATTAAAGAAGAGAAACAGAATTGGTAAAAGAGGAGACCCTTGCGGCAGTCCAGCCTATAGTAAGTCTCAAACCTTAGAAATCTACTTA